TGACTTGAGTTCCACTAATTATGATACAACACTGACTTAGGAAAATCTGAAATTCTTTCTTTACATCTCTGATCACCTTATGTTGCACTCTCAGTTCTTACTATTCATAAGCCCAGTCTTGCAGTCTATTAGTCACACAATAAGCCCCTCTGAAGCCAAAACATTAAACTATCACACATTTGCTCACTAGCTGAATAAAGGGCAGATGTAGTAGCAGGCAAAAAGCAACATGTATGTTTAAGAGACTTGGTTGCTGTTTAGGAGACAGATAAAGAGATGGATAAATAGGCTATTTTGCAAACACAAAGAAAATGCTAAATAAATATCAAGAATCCACTCCTTATTTGCATCCATCTTCACTTATACTATTCCTATTAATCTCATAGGCCTCTGTTATGGCCTGATCTACATTTAAAATTTAGATCAATCGAGCCATGGCGCTCAGGGTTGTGAAAAATCCACACCCAGGAGCAACACAGCTATGCCTATCTAACCCTCAACGTAGATGCAGCTAGGTTTACAGAAGAATGTTTCCATTGACCCAGTGACTGTTGCATGGGGAGATGGTGTTCCTACAGTGATGGGAAAGTTCCTTCCCTCAGGGTAGGCTGTGTTTACACTGCAGGGTTATGCCAGCATAGTTACGGCACAGTAGCTGTACTTTTATAGTCCGTGTAATGTAGACTTCGCCTAAATCTCTTAGGGTATGTCTACACTACCCCGCTAGTTCGAACTAGCGGGGTAATGTAGGCATACCGCACTTGCAAATGAAGCCCGGGATTTGAATTTCCCGGGCTTCATTTGCATAAGCAGGGAGCCGCCATTTTTAAAACCCCGCTGGTTCGAACCCCGTGCAGCGCGGCTACACGGGGCTCGAACGAGGTAGTTCGGACTAGGATTCCTATTCCGAACTACCGGTACACCTCGTACGGAGGGTAGTGTAGACATACCCTTGCTTCTTTGTGAAATTTGTGTGTCGGGTATCCTTACTTTTGTATTATTAGTGAATGACTATTTAATTAGATAACAGACCTTGAGGACTTGGAACATTCTACACTTGACGTGCAGGAATTCTCCCTCATGAATACTGTAAAAAGGTTAATTACTGTTTTCAAATATTCAAATCCAGTTATTTCAATTATATTCATATATTTGAAACTTTGTTGTATCTGAATGTGGGTCCAATTTCAGCTCAAGCAAAGGCCAGTTCAGGT